CAGGTTAGGTGTTAGTAATGCTATTTCTGTCTCTTAATATGAAGATCATCTTTTCTGTAAAAGTGCAGGAGTTGCTGGCTCATTTTGCTGGTTTTTTGCTCACCAATAAAAGTTTCTTTGGTCGAGTTTGGACTAGAAATGTATTTGCCTTAACTGATCTTCCTGGTGCCCAGCATCATAAAGCTCACTGGCAACCAGGTTTCTTTGTCTTTTTCTCATCCTCCTTAACCCTAGTTTTTGTGGTGAGTCTATATGTTGGAGAATAAACAGTGACTTATCCAGAGTTACTTTATGCTCTGCTTTTTAGCACTTTCTGAAACTTCCAATCATCCAGGACAATTCACTGCAAAGAAAGAGGTTACCAGTCCTGGCTACGGTGTTGATCCAGCTGATGGGATGGCCAGGGTGCCACCTGGACTTGGTGGGGCTACTTCTCTCTGGCCTGGAGATAACTAAATTGTATAGAAAGTGAGAAAGTTATGCACTGTCTGTTCTGTAGGCCTTCCTGGAAATGGGTTGGGGTGTTTCAAGGCTCTTTGGTCCTGATCCCACCCTACAATCCATACTGGCTTCTCGACCTCATTCCTGTGCTTGCACCGTTCTGTTGCACTTATCTCCAGGAGGCAGAACAAGGACATTTGTCCTGGAAAAGAGCTGCTCTACCTTTGTATGGCCCCCTTCTCCAGCCACACACTGTTCTCTTTCACAGTATGTTATTGCCAACAATCCTTGGCTGTTATTACCAACAATCCTTGGTTGGCTCCACAGCTATCTGGCTATCAGTGTTTGAGGCATGCACATGAGCCCCCTTATCTTCTGGGCTTCTACACCCCCTCAGCTCTTTCAGGAAACTTAATTTGGAGCAGTTAATAATATTTCTAGTATATGAATGGTACTCTCTAAGCATTTCCTTATATCCTTATGCTTGCTTTCAGTGGAACTGTCAGATGCAGGACTTGCATCAGTAATTGAAGAAAATGGTGGTTTTAATGTGCTCAGAGTTTCCTAGGTTATATGTTGCTGTTGGCCATCTCTTTTGGCCAGAGAGACTATTGCATTTAGCCTACTAAAACTTTGCTTGTTTGAGAATTCCCAAAATGGAATATACATGGGAGGAAATTGGTTGACAGAATTATTTCTTACTGGTTTATAACCATGAACTTCTTTCAGATTCAGGTTCTTTGTGTTTGGAGAAAAAGGAGCTACAGCTTTGCTCAGATTGATGTCTTTGATTCACTGTGTGAATATAGCTGAAATATGTGTGCACTGAAGGGAAGGTCTTAGAAAAACCTGTTTCTTGGCTGGTTGGAAAGAGGTCAACCAAACCTGCATATCAGACAGCATTCCAGCCACTACCAAGTGGCTGACATTTCTTCCAGTCTCATTCTAACAGTGATGAGAATTTGGACAACAAGATCTGTGTGTGTCACCCTGATAGTAGAGAGCACAAGTGTAAAGGAGAATGCTGATGCCAGAGATGCACTTAGCTATGGTCTCCAGTGGCTGTATATCTTTATTTGGAAAACTGGATTGTATAAGGATAAAATATATTTTTAAATAATGAAGAAGCTGTGCTGCTCTGTACTGTAATTTTGCCTGAACTAACCAGGTCTACCCTACATTTGGAAAAAGTCAGACCTGCAATTCAGCATGGACACAGCCCTGAGTGAAGAAGCAGCTACATTACTGAGAACAGGCACACCACCACTGAAATGCTTTGGTCTTTGTGTGGCTGGATCCCCATTTTGCTGCTGTAGACAGTGCCTGAAGAGTCATATAATTCTGTATAGTTCTGTCGTGAGGAGAGCGTTAATGCCTGAGAATGTTTAGAAGTAATTGCTCATTGTGGGATTTTTGAGTAGTTTTAACAGCTAAAAAAACATAAATCTGTGGAAATCTGAATCTTGTTTGAGCTACTTCATGAATGTATTTAACCTAGAGTTATTTGTATCAGAGCTACTACTCAGACTTACAGCACTGAATTAGTCCTGAATTGCTGTATTTTCCAGCAGTTAATACTGCTGCTGCTTGCAGCTTATTTGGTGACTGTGTCACTGAAGATTGAATATGCTGTTCAGGATCTGAGTGTCAGCTCTGAGAGATAGGCCAGGTTGCTCAGGGCTTTGTGTACTTGGTCCTGAAGAACCTCCAGGGAAGGAGACTGAACAATCTCTCTGGACAGTCTGTGCCACTGCCTTCCTGAGGAAAAAAATTCTCCTTAAATCTAATTGGAAGCTTTCTTTAAGGTTATGGTTTGCTTAAGAGTTGCTAAAACAAAACAAACAAACAAACCACCCAGAAAAACAAACCACCAACTAATTTAGATATATTAAATTGGGGATGAGTAGTGGTTATTTTCTTGCTTAAGGAGTTAATTGACTCTGTATTTTCCCTCCTTGACTGAAGAGTGGCAACATTTTACCCCCTGTGTTGCTTTGAGAAATCCAGTTACTCAGTTGCAGGTGCAGGGTTAATAGTTATCTAGAAATAGAGCTTTATCTTGCCTTTTGAAAAGCCTCCAGGGAGTGGATGGATCAGGCCTGCTAATTAAACAATCTGGAGGCTGCAGAAACCTGGAAGTGGAACAGGTGACAAAATTTGCAAGGAACACCTTGGCTTCTCTTGCCAGCTGGGCCAGCAGGTGTTGACAGGCACATAAAGGTAGGGGTGGGAAAACTGTCAGCTTTTCCTTGCCTCACCTTTGGTAGAAAGGGAATAAGTAGAACAGCTTATCTTTTATGTTTAAATGTCATTTCAGATGAAAAATTGCATCAGATTCTGTTTCCAAATGTGTCTTACAAAGCAAAGGGAAAAACAGAAAGAGCAAGCAGCTGTCTTCAATTTAAATTAGAAGTTTTTCTTTAAAACTAGAATAAACCCCCTTGGTTTGTTTTTTTTTTTGCAAAATTGGTTATATTGGACAAATTAATATTAGATTTAATAGGCTTTCTGTGGAAAACCCTGAATAGGTTTTATATTTAAGAAAATTTCTTTTACTCAGAAAGTCCTATTTTCTTGCTGGAAAAAAGGGCTCTGCTTGTATAGCAACATTCTGTCCAGGAAAGAATTGAGACTATTTTGCTCTAGAAGTTCCATTACTAAAATGGAACTTTTTCGTTTTATAGATAAGAAATTAAGGATTCTGGCTTGAAGTGATATCAGCTTGTGGTTACCTTGTCCCTCAAATATTCTTACTATGTCTTCACTTAAAATCAGTTTCTTCTGCTGCTCTTCCACGTCTCTGAACTTTCACTTGTTTTTACTTGTTTTACTTTTCTTGTTGAGAACTATTTATGAACACAGAGATTGCAGGTCTGTGAAAATGATTTCTCCATCTTTTAGTGCCCACTTTGGCATATTTGGTATTGCCGAGAACAATTCCAAAGAGCAATAGCACAAAAAATCTCTAGTGGGTAATTTTCTGATCTTTGGGGATGATTACAAAAAAGCAAACTAAAAACCAAAAAAATCACAGAAAAACCACAAAAAAACCCCAAAAACAACCTGTGGAAGGAGCGAGAATAAAAAAAAATATATAAGAAATAAAAAAATCAAAATCCATCAAGCCAGTCTGGTGGTATATAGATTTTTTTATTTCTTTTTTGCCATGACTTGAAAAGTTGGAATTACTGTCACTGGCAGTTCATCCTGTTGTGGTCAATGGTTTGCTGTCAGGACCATTGATCAGTTCCTTTATTTCTTCAGGCTGAAGTGGCTGATAAATCATTCCTCCAGTCTGCCCTGTTCATTGCTGCTGAAGCTGCTCCCTCTCGTGGGAATGCTTGCTGTTGTGGTTGGCACTGCAGCTGCCTTCTGCCCCTCTTCCTCCCTGCCCTTGGACATGATGGATGTTGGGATGAGACCTCCAGAGGGCTTCTCCCACTTGCACTATCTGCTCTCCAGCTTTCTGCTTCTTGCTCCTGCCCTGAGCTTTGCTGCAAATTTGGTAGCCTGAGTGTCTGGCTTAATGCACAGAGCAGAGTTGCAGTGATTCCCATTGTGAAAAACGAGGTTCACATATTTTTTTAGCATTTAAAAGTTTAATAGAAAGACAATTAGGAGATAAAAATAAAGTAAAATATACAGATACAGCTGGGTGTTTCTGCATTCAGCCAAGAGAGCACCCCTTACTAACAAAGGATTGTCCCTTGAAAACAGAGTCCTACTACATATTCATAAATTCTAATACATGATTCAAACATTCTCCTTAAGTTTTGGATGTTTCTTTGTTTAGTTTTTTACTTGCCCCCTTCTCAATAAATCAATCTTCTTGGCTCTACATTTACATTTACATTCTCTGATAACAGAAATGCAGTAAATTCCTCCCCCAGAGCTCTGGTCACTGCTGTCTTCATCTGGACAAGATAATCTAAGAATGAGGGGGTCTCCAACCATCTCCTCCAGTCCCTGGGTTATACAAACAAAAGTAGTCCCCGCTCCAATACCATGCCATAGCTCAACATATATGTATATTATACTACCATTTCTAAGCTCCATCAACAACAGAAATATAAGGAACCACACTAATACAACTAAGTTTTCTAACCTTATACATATAACATTCATTCCAATATTTGTGAATAGCCAACAATATCTTATGTATCTATAATACCATCAACCACTCAGTTCCTGCACACCTGAGAGAGCCCCAGCCAGGGGGAAACAGCCTGTGTGGCTTCTGTGCTCCCTTGAATCTGTGACTAGTAAGTAATTAAGAGTGGTTGGAGACAATATTTCTAAGGGTTTTTTTGTGTTGGGTTTTTTTTTAATTAGACAGAGCCTTCTTGCTTTCCTGAATTAAGTTCATTAATGGTGAATAAAACAAGAACACATTTCAAATTGTTTTTATTGTGTCACACTCTGTAGCAGCAGAGTAAATCAGATGATCATCTCTAGTTGAGTTTGTAAATCTGAGGTTGACAGATTACTTCTATTTGACTCAAGTTTTCCATGGTCTATCTTTTAATTCTAAAGCAAATTTATTTTTTCTTTTTAAACAGATGAATCACGTAAAAGAGAGATTTGGTGACAGCGTGCCAGAAGAAGTGCTTCTGCTATGTCTGGGCATTACCTCAGGAGTTGGCAGATTGATCTTTGGCAGAGTTGCAGATTATATTCCTGGTGCAAAAAAAATTTATTTACAGGTATGTCTTTATTGCTTCTATGCTCCTTCTGAACTGTGGATTCCAAAGGACATGGTTTGGGGTACCATTAATAAGTTTGCAGAATTAACTGATTGGAGATTCAAATTTGAGAAGTTTCAAAACTCTAGGACACTCAGTGTATGATTTTTGATACTAGGAGCCTTTGGTGCGAAGTTTATGAATATCTGATTTTTGTTTTTAGCGCTAAGAAAATGTCCATTTTCCTGCTGCCTCTTTTCAGCTGGGAATAAAGGAAATTACTGTTCATTAGCATGTGCGTGGGAACCTTTGGGAATTCTCTAGATTCTGCTTTCTCTGCTTTATCCCAGATTATGATTTCATAATGGTTTTCCCCAGATAGGGGAAAAAAAATCAAGCCACGTTTCTCTGTTAAGGATTTTGGATCTCTTGATTTTTGACAGGTACTAATTCGGTATCAAATATGTTCTGTGCATAGTACACAGGGGTATGGCAACACAGGAGGTGCTTAGCTGAGGAGATTTTGCAGAAAGAGTCCCGGCTTCCAGAAATGCTGAAGCTTGGAGATGAAAGAGGATATACACTTCTTTCCCTCCACACTTATAAACCTTATTTTTTGGAGAAACTCGGCAGTGCAAGTGTGGAATTTTGGAACAGCTTTAGTTCACTTTCATATCGGCAACTGCGAGGTGTTTGCCGCTTGGTCTCTTAAAATGAATAGCAAGGGAGGCATCTAGTGGGGATTGTCTGCACTGCATTATAGAAATCCAAAGTTCTTAGGAAAGAATTTCCCTTCTGCTGGAGTATTTGTTGTAATGGATAAATTTAGATTCCTAAATGTTTTATTGCAGTTAAGTGGAAATTTGGTTTCCAGTGCTTACATATGGATGGTGCATAGGCAAAACTGTTTCCACTTCTAGTTTCTTTTAAATTCTGCTTTGTTTTGCTGAAAGTCTGTTTTATTCCTCTAATCTAAAACTTATAAACAATCTAAGATGATACTAGAAAATTTTTGTAAGTGTGACTTACTGCATGTAGTAGCAGTACATTAGGACACTTTTTTTTAGTGGAAAAATTGAATGTTTCCACTCCTGTTGAATATGAACACCCTGAAATAAACACTTACAATACTGATATTTTTACTTACAACAGTGAGGAGTCTAATTAAAATATTCCAGCTATCTTAAACTTTCAATATTTCTGTGACTTATTTCTCAATATTAGCGCATGAGAAATGACCTTACACAACCACTGTACGATAGTGGATTACAATAGCATTTTCAAAGCTTGCGAAATGGGTAGTGGAATTTCTCTGCCTGTCATGTTTGTTTTATGTTAGTATGTAACTTCTGACGGTGGTAATCCATGGAGACTGATTATTTTAAGGTAAATACAGGCAGGCAATCAAGTTCACTGCAAATGCAAGGAGGTTCATCCGGTCCCTTAAGATTTGCAAATTTGATGCAATGCATTTTTTATATTTTTTCCCTTGTTCATGTTTAGGTGGCCTCATTCTTTTTTATTGGGCTGATGTCTATGATGATTCCACTGTGCAAGGTCTTTGGAGCTCTCGTTGCTGTCTGTCTCTTCATGGGCCTGTTTGATGGGTGCTTCATTTGCATTATGGCTCCCATTGCCTTCGAGCTCGTTGGGGCTCAGGATGTCTCCCAGGCCATCGGATTTCTCCTTGGACTCATGTCAGTGCCTATGGTAGTTGGTCCACCCATTGCAGGTGAGTGTAGGCAGGGTTTGTAGCTATAAATGTGTTTCTGTGTTTGCATGACTTTTTGGCTGTGTTTCCCATTCCTGCATCATGTGCAGAGCTTTGACATCAGAAGTTTTCTCCGTGTGTGCTTGAGAAGATAAAGGAAATTTACCTGCTGCTCATGGGCTATTCATTTACTATGCTCTTCAAAGTTTGCTCAGTCTTCATTGTTATGCAGGTGTAAACATTCCTCAAAAGAAAGATAGATAGGTTTCCAGCTGGCTTTAGGACCTGACATTTTCCATTTTGTACAAGAGACAGCCTATTGGTTGCTTGTGTTACCAATTGAATTGGAAAATTCAGTTTTCCAAACTGAAATCTGAAAATTAACTGTATTCCAAAACTTGCTCATGTTAAAACCATTGTGAAGATAAAGGCTCAAATCACTTTAATTGCTCCTCATAAATAGGAATGCTGGCTTTATTCATCTTTTGGTGGGAGACTGACAAAGTACAGGTTTTGAAGATGAAAACTTGGGAGTTCTTGGGAGGTAGAAATAGCTAAAGCTGTATTCCTCATCACTGATGACTTTCAGTGGTAATTTACCCTGAGATTTGGTGAGTGCTACTGAAAGGTACTTCATAAGACATAATTGAACTATGCAGCATTATAAAGGACAAAATTATAATGCTAGAACCGCACTGACTTGGTGCTTCCTGATCTGCTTCTTACTGTCACAGCTATTAATACTTAAATAGGATTTGACTAATGGGAGGAATCTGGACAGAGCAATTAGAGTGAATTATTGGAAAACACACTTTTTAATAAGAGGCCAGGAGGAATGCAATATATGAAGCATATCTAGAATTAGAAGAATGGGCTTATTGATCAAAGGTAACTTACCAAAAGGAGGGAGAATTTCTCTAAGTCATGGCAAGATACAAGTGCTGGAGAAGCTCAAATGAGCAACTTTCAAAGAGGAAAGATGGTGCATGTTTTTAATGAATGGTAACTGAGCAATTTTTAATTCCTCAAGGGCTGATATACTGAGCTCTTCATTGCTGCTCCAAGTCAGCTCTGGAATACCTTTCTACCTCCATGTACCTCTGTTTGGCCATCAGGTTGTCAGGTTCTAGTGGTTATAATCTGTGCCAGCTCTTGGGTTTCTGAACCCAAAGCCACAGCCTTTTTTTTGTAGATTCCTGAGGCCCCTTTATTTATGAGTGGTAACACTCTGCCTTTCCAGGTTTGCTGCGGGATAAGCTTGGCACCTACGACGTGGCATTTTACCTGGCTGGAGTCCCTCCCCTCATTGGAGGAGCTATTTTGTGTTTCATCCCCTGGGTCCACGAACGGCACAAGTTGAAAGAGAGAGCAAAACCTGTTGATGGAGAAACTACTGAGAAAATGCTGGAGAACGAAAGCACTTTGGTGTCGGACACGACAGAAAAGCCAGTCAAAGAACTGGATTCTGGCTTTTGATGCCTTTTTCTTTTCCCTGTACCACCCTGACCTCCTCCTACTGAAGCTAGATTTCTACTTTTTGGCTGAAGATACTATACGATACTGAAGTATTGAACTATTGCTCAAATTGCAAAACTGCTACAAGAATCTTTTATACCATTGAACTTTTTTGACAAGTCTTTGAATTTGATTTCAAGCCACATTTTCAAGGTATTTGACGTTTTGTAGCTTTAGTGTGTACGTGCGTAGTGATTCTGTGTGTGAAGAGAATATTTTTCTAATCCATCAGAACTGATTTCTGGAAATGTGAAAGCTGTTTTTCCTTCACTGACCCGGGATTCTTCAATGAATATCTATGATCCGTCCTCGGCAGGCACACCCTTGGGTGTTTATACTGGATAATGTAGTAGCTCTTATGACTGATCTGTTTTTTTGAAGTTTATCATGCTGTTTACAGTCTTTTATAATTCTCTATCATGAACACAAATATGCATCTTTTTGCTGAAATGATTTTTTTTTTCATTAGAAAGCTAAATTATTATATAACTGTTGAAACACTCACTTGTGTTTGCATTCACCTTTCACAGTAGCCCAAAGAACATTAAGGATGGCATTTTTAATGGGCTCAGGTTTTGAATATGTGCAAACCAACCTCCAAGTGCAAACATGTTCAGAAGTAACGCTGCTGAGTAATAGAATTTTTTATTATTATTATTATTTTTTGGTGAAGGCAATACCCTTAAGATGTATTTGTATAAATTTGATTTCAGCCAAACCTCAGAGTACTGGATAGTTTTGAAACTGTACTGACTAATTCTTTGGAGCAGTATTGTGAATTAGACTAAATTTCAAATTATTCTGTTGTACTTGTTAGGATTTCTTTCCTTTTTGGTTTGTAAAACCAAGACAGCTTTAAATGATACATTCTAAGTGCAATACCAAGTTTTTAATGTGGAAATATACACGAGCTATTAAAACAACATTCAGCAACTAAAGATTTTTGCACTAAGTGAACATGCAGGTTTATTACAGGTCTTTATAGCTGTGCTCAATTGCCTGTAGATTATATGGCTCCATGTTTTATTCAAATATAAAGAAATGTCTTTGCATGTCCTATTTCTTGCGTAACATCCTAAACAAATGGCCCCATGGCTTCTGCATTCTTAGGTATTATGCACTGTTTGTCAAGCAAGTAATCTCTTTTCCAGAAAAATGTTTAAAAGCATAATACTTTGAGATTAAAACACTGCTTTTCAGTTTATCATAAAACACTTCTAAGCACATTGCTTATGTGTGGATATGTTTCAGCAATCACTGGAATATTTAATAATTCTTTATTTCAGGTCCATTTAATACCAATCATTTTTGTTGTCTCATTTAAAACTGTCATAGCAAAGAGTAAACTGAATGCGATCTGGACAAAATTACTATTTAAGTGCTTTTTTAATTAGTAACTGTTCTTTACATAAACCATGGAGGCATAGTGTTTTGTTTTGTTTTTTTTTTTTTTTTTTAATGATAGCCTTTATTATCTATTTTCATTCTTCTTTTTCCAGTGTTGCAGTAAATTGCTCAGAAAACCAATCTAAAACAGCAATACTATTGCATTTAATGTTTACACCTAGCAATTGACAGAAGTTCTTTAAATATAATAATGGAAAACATTCTAATTATTGTAGACCAAAGCTCAGACTTTTTTATATTGCAGGATTTCGGTCCCTACTTTGCATGAGTGAGGTCTAAAAGAATTGAATATTAAAATGTTAGAGAGACATATGTGGAAGGGACTTGGAGGGTGGGGAGAAAAAAGCCAATCTGGAAAACTGTGGTCTCTTCAGGTTCACAGGGACTTGTGCTTTGGCACATTGTAAGTACTTCTAAAAATGTCATTAAAATATGCATAGTAGTGTTAATTAAGATTACTACCTTCACTACAGAAATGATGCTGACAGCCAATGCTGCTCTTGTCTGGAGTGTTTCTGTAGAACGTGATATTCAGTATTATTTTCCATTTGGGCAACACAGAAGGTATTGCTGGCTAAGTGTAGTAAAAGACTCATTTCCTGTTGTTCTGTTATGAAAAATTAGTGCTCATCATAGATCTTGCATTTAATGTGTTTTCAGTCCTAAGTTTTATACCAAAAACAAAACTGCTGCTTTTTTTATCACTGGTGCAATTTGAAATGATTGTGACCAGGTATATTGGTGTAATGATGGTATCTTTCCAACTTGCTGCTCTGCATCTCTAAATTATCTGGGAGAGTATATAAAAGAATTGTTGTAAGATTTATAAATGACATGGAAATGGTATATCAGTAGTATGGGCTAATTCTTGCCATGATGTTTAAAGAAAAAGAAAAAAAATCCAAACTCTCATATTTGCATAAAATTTATAAAAATCCCCAAACCAACAAACCAAAAAAACTGCACAACCTGTAACCTCCATGGGGAGGGTACAATTACTAATTGTTTAGGAGTGATTCCTATGGTAAATAGTGAGTGGGATGCTGGATGAGAGGGAAGCAGAACTTAGGGGGAAGGGGAAGCTCTGCTGGTATGATAGTGTTAGAATAACAAACCCTTTTCTGATGCAGTGCTTGTTTTGCAACAATGCTGAAATTGGAAAGGCTTTTCAGAGAAGATAAATTACTGTTTAAGAACTCTATTAGCATCTTTTCTGTTAGCTTGTATCTGTGGGGGAAATGTCCAGTAGCAAATGCTCTTTTCTGGACAGAAGCATAAGGTGTTTGTGTCCTAAAGCTAGGTAGGAAGAAAAACAAGCTCAGATTGTTTGTTCTGAGGCTGACCAACCACTGAGAAACTTATTGAGAGAGATACTAGATTCTATTTGCCCTGAGGTTTTAAAAATTAGGTTAGATGACTCTATTCTAAAGAAAAAAAAAGCAAATAAATCCCCAAACAAACTAAAATATGAAAAATCCTACACAAATAGCAACTACTTAGTAAACTTATTTTTTAAAAAAATTGATATTGTAGAAGTGGAGAAAAGGACAGAATATTCAATTTTAACTTAATAAATGTAAATAATATTTTCTAACAATTTATTTTTAGGTGTGAAAACCTATTCATGGGAAACCTGTTGAAATCCTATTTTGGTGACCCAAATCATGCCAGCCTGAATCTTGCTGGGGGTAGATTCTAAAATTAAAATAGTAGCTTAATTCAAGAAGGCTCTTAAATCACTCTGATACATCCCTCTCTTGAGAACAGTTCATAGAGTACTTTCCATAGACATTATGCTTGTATCCTATAAACAGAGTAGTCATCTTTTCATTGAATGTTCTCAGGGTAAATTTTCAGAAGAAAATGAGTAGAAAGAGGGTCACTTTAAATGGCAGTGTGAAATTTCCAGTCCTACGTGGTGCTGTCATTTAATACACCAGATCTTGACTGCTATTAAGAGTGTGTGTGTATCTGTAAATACAATGTATTTTGACAAGGGCATGCACAAACATTCTGCATCTCACTAGAGGAGGTGTGCAGTTCTGGAAGGTGGGAGATGGCTAAGGAAAAAATGATCCCTTTCTGTGTGCCTCCCTGTTGACAAGCACAGCACCAGCAGAGTTCCAGCCAGCCAGTGAGTTTCCAGTCATGTAAACTTTGGCATATGTGCAGTATGCCTTCTAGTCTATATATATCTTGTGTCAACAGCTGTAATGTTTTGGAAGTGCATATGCTAAGATTAGAGGGATTTTATACTAAAATGTTTGCTAATATTGACAACACTGACATGTTTAAGTATCTTTATAGACATCATATTTTGTATGTTGTTTTTGATATTAAAGAGTACATGTTTTGCTAGCCTTAACTCCAGTCTTTCAAGTTCTGCTTTGTTAGAAGGGTAAGAAATGAATGTTTAATGTTTTTCGTGGTGCTAAAGTAACTGTGATCAGTTTCAAATTATTCAGAATAAAGATGGTAGTGTTTAAGTGCTCCATTTGTTACTGCACGCATCATTTTTTGTCTTATTCTTGCGTCAAACTTGTCATTTTGTAATGTAATTTTGTTGTAGTCCGATAATTATTGAACCTAGTGTGCAGACTTTTACACAAAAGTCTTTACAGCTTTTATTGCCACTGTGGTCTGACTGAAATGTCCCCATTACATTTGCTCCTACATTAATATATGGTGCAACCCATTTTAAGACTAATGATTTAAAAACCTAAGCTACTGAGGTGCTTGTTTCTGAAAAAATTATCTTCTCTGTTTTCCATTCTGGGGCTTAATATCAGACTTGCAGAAGCAGTTGCGTTCACAAAAGGCAGAAGGAAAAACTGAGGGAGGGAAACGGGTAAGATAAGTTTGAGTGGCGTTTTAAAAGAATTCTGATTTTGCTTCATGAACTGCCACTGTAATTCAGTGTGACCTTTAATCATTCAATTGGCCTGCTACCAATTTCCCTTTGACTTACCTTGGTGGTATGAAGCATGAAGTGTTTCCTCATTGGCAGCTTTAGTAAGTCCCAGGGATTCGTTCACCTTTCCTGTGTAGTAGGGCCAAATATTTATTTTATTTAATAAATATATCTGATGATATGGGTGAAATATCCCCTTTTCATCTGGGGTTATTCTCTAGGCTGCTTTTAGTTCAAATTAAAATTTGAAAAAGATGCCCAAAACCTTTATAAGTGCCAGGGTGCTGTTGCCATTTGTACACGCTCAATGTACAAAGTCTCATTTTAAGTTTGTAAAACAACAGCGAGGAGAAGCCTGGGGAAGGCATTTCAAATACTGCTGTACCTTTTTCAGCAAGCCACTTGTATAACGAGGCAAAACACATCTAGAAATGTGGTTTGACTCGTGTGTGACTACTATTATTTTATAGTTGAAATTATTTTATCTGGAATTGTCTCTACTGCTGGACGTATGAACAGAAGCTCAGCATCAGCGTTCTGCAGATACCTCGGGGCTCGAACTCTGTCCTCTTGCAAAGGTAGGCATGCGGGATCGATCAGGTTTAAACACTATCTGACAGTATTACTTGTAGCAAGCAGGTTTGTTTTTGGTTTTTTTTATCAGGAAGGTATTTGCAACATGCTTGCCAGTGCCAGGGGAAACGGGAATGGGCTGCTCACTGTCCTTGCGCTGCTATACCCCAGTATTTACTTGTTAGGAACAGCTGGCAAAAAAAACGCAGTGCAGTTTGGAATGATCTTTCGAGTTGTTTGCGTCACTTAAACTTATCAAGTGCGGTGGAACTCAGAGCTTTTCTTACAGGGAATAGCACCTCAGTGCCAGACAGGGAGCACGCACTGAGTCCCGCTGCACAGTCTGTGAGCTGCTCCACGTGAGCGGCAGGAATTCACACAGTTTTTATACTTAAAACTTTTAATACCAGGCCTGCTTTAACACCTGTCCTTAGCAGACCCAGCAGGTCTCTCTCTCTTGAGAAGACTTATCAGCGTGACATAACACAGTCGTGGAAGACAAAGACCTTTTATGCCCGGTTGGCTGAAAGGTCGAATGCAATTTGAGTGATAGCACAGATTATAAATAAATAAACTAATAAATCCTAGTTTATAAGGGCACTTCCTCGGGTACTGTTGCAAAAGCTTTCTCAGCGGCTGTGGGGTGCCAGCTGTCCCGGGAATGTCGCTGCCCAGCGCCGAGCCCCGCTCCCAGGAGGAGCCCCTGGCGGAGGAGGAAGCGGCGGTGTCGCCCCCCGGCTCCGAGCCCCCCG